TAGGACTAAAAAATAGTGTGACTATAACAAGGTTGTGACTATATCAAGAGTGACTATAACGAGGTCTGACTGTATATTCAATTTTTAATATGATTCCTCGCTAATATCACTACAACATGAATATAAAAGCAATCCAAATAGGTTGATAGGGGCCTCTAATTAAATTTGCGATAAAACAAAGCAATTTACTTCTGGTATTCAAAGTTAAATACATATTAGAAAAACCAAATTAATTCTTTAATCTAATTTGGATCTATATACAATCAAATTTGTTTTTAAACACTATCGCTATATATTGCCATATCATATCAGATATCGGAAAGATTATTATCGTTAAAAAATCAACCAATCATATTTGATGATGATCATCTGACATAATAGTCATGCTTCTGATTAGTTAATCTATATAAGGTCTGAACTGTGCCATATTATAAATAGATAGAATTCTTCATATTTGAAAACCATTTATCGTTATCAAACAAACGTCTTTTGAAATTATGCCTGACATAGAAGAAGAAGGAGTTGAAGAAGGAGTTGAAGAAGGACCTGGAGAAGGAGTTGATGAGGGAGGTGACGAGGGAGTCGACGTTATGGCTCCGATCGATTCCTCGGAAGAAGAGGAGGAAACTGACGAAGAAGCAGCCAAAGAGGTACTCTTCAACAGATTACGAAATATCAACCAAAGTTTTACCGAAATAACTTCTTACCGTTTCGATTGATAGGTTGCAAAAGATTTCATTGTCGATGACGAAGACGAAGAGGACGAAGACGAAGAAATATATCGCTCTTCACGCAAGAAAAAAAAACAAAAAAAGAGAAAAAGGGAAAGGAGTATTGATTGTAAGATTAAGACATTATTACGATTCTTCATTGCTTTTCTTTTCATTCATAAAAATTTCTTACAAGTGTAATATATTTTTAGTTGATGATATATCTGATGATGAATTGGAATTGATAGGAGAAAGCAGGTCCAGAAGTGAGGTAATTTCTTAAAAAGTTTGTAATTCTAATTTTTTTCATTTATCAATATAACTAATTCGATGTTTTCGCATTTTAACAGCAAAACTTCAAACGTCTTAAGCGAGGTCGTCATGAAAGTCGAGATGATGTTAGGAAGATTTTTGACGACGAAGATGCTATGGAAGATCAATTCGGGAACGATTCTGATTTTGTTGTTGATGATGATGAGGATGATAATATTCCATTTGATGAAGGTGATACTGGCCAAAGAGGTCGAAGTTCCTATTCTAAACAATATTATGATGATATGAGCGAGTATGTTTAAATATAATTGTTATTATGTAAATTCATTTATTTTTATCATCTTTTCTAACTTTTTGATTCATAGACCGGAAAAACTTTGGCAGGAGGTCTTTCAAGACCTTGATGAAAAATATTCATATGCTTTCGACAATCCGGTATTATTCTTTCTTTCTGATAAATAATTATTTCATTTCAAGCTTATTATAATAAGCGAATTCAACATATCAAATTCGACATATTATAGGAAGATATGGATGTTGAACCTACCGAAGGTTTGGAGGCAATTTTAGACGATAGTGCTCTTAAGCGATTAAAGATGACCAGTGATGATATACGTATTAAGAATACAGATCTTCCAGAAAGAATGCTAGTACGTTTTGTTTTGTCTTTTAATTATTTAATATGATCTTTACCTACAGTTGTCTTTCCAAAACATTTCAAAGGGGAGAACTAGGGATGTTTGATAGTTACTTGATGGGAGACTTGAATTTTAATTGATTGATTAATCATATTTTGTCTTACTATATATTCATAGCTCCGATCAGATATTGATCAAGGTCGAAAGTTAACTGATTTTGAAATAGAAGAGGCTACTAAAATGATCTCTGAAGATTTGGCATATTTTAATGAACTACGACCTACTAATCAATTTATGGTGGCCATTAAACGTGTATTAAAATGTTTGGGGCAAGAATTCTTTGAGGTAATAATTAAATCAAGATTATTCTCCAGATAATTACTTTATACATTAAATTAACAGTTTCTTATAATTTCACAATGATATGATAGGTCCCCTATATATATACGTATCGTCGAGATTACATCGCAGAATTTGATGATGATTTTTCAAGACCACCTCAAGAAATTCTTACACGAGCAGATTTATGGCATATTTATGATCTTGAATATAAATACAGATTGTTTATTAAAAAACGTGAAGAAATTAAAGACACTATTAAAAAATATCGTATCGAAGATGAATACGTTAAAACTTTTCTATCTGAGGCATCTTCTATTGAGGCGCTCTCGGATTTACATGGATATATCCACCATCAATATTCTCAACAAATTGTTGCCGCTTTAACTTCTCGCCGACATGTGAAAAAAGTGTCATTTTATGAGGAATGCATGAGTCGAAATCTTGACAAATTAGTTTTCGTAAGGATATTTTCTTCACTTATCTATTATTGATCTGAATTATTTCTAACATACGAATGCTTATTTAATAGAAAATCGGTGTTCGAGTACAAGAATTTGGAAAAAGCTTAAATCTTGGAAAAAAGATTCACTATCCTCGTGAAATTGATGATGGGCCGCAGGATGCGGCAAAAGAATTTGCTTCAGCTTATACTAGAAAAGCGGAATTCACTAACTTAGACCCTGTCGAGCTCGCGCTTGCAGGTAAACCTGAAACTTAGCCGCCTCGTTGCAATTGAATATCTTTGGATGATAATTCAATTTTTTGTATCGAAATTAGATGCCGTGAAAATGCTTTCTCAGGATATTGGATTCGATCCTTCTTTCCGAAAGTTTGTTCGTAGACGCGTTCTTGAGCAGGGTATTATAGTTGTAACTCCAGCACCACATAAAGATATTGACATTAATCATGAATGTTGGGTGAGTTTTTAAATTTTCAATTACATTAAGGTTACTGGATTTGGTAGTCTATATTTACATACTTTTGATTCACTTTATTTAGCCTTATAGATACTTAAGGAAACCGATTAGTAAATTTAGAAATTCAGGATTGTTTGCTAAAATCATGAGAGGCGAGGATCGCGGCATACTCAAGGTTAAAATTGAGCTGGAGCGTGAATATGATTTTCTTGATGTTCTTGAAAAGCATATAGTTGGGGATAATCGGGGAAATCAAACTGGTCAAAGGTGGGATAGATACCGCATTGATGCGGTTCATGCAGCTTATAATAAAGTATTATGCCCTATAATTGACATATGGATTAAAGCACGACTTAAAGATGATGCCGAACAATGGATAATGAGACAATGCATGCTTGGCCTCGAATCTGTTTGTATTTTTTCATGAAATTTGTTTTATTTGTAACGCCATAAAGATTCCATAATTTACATTGCTTTGAAATAACCCGTAATTATTCAAAAGAAATTAAACGTGGCCCCATTTAAACTTACAACAAGTTGGGATGACGAAGAAGAAGAAGATGATGACTATGAAGATGATGACAAAAAACGAATAATGGCTGTTTCATGGGGTCCAGGCGGCCGGCACCCTATCGAATGTGTTTGCCTTGACAGGAGTGGACGGCTTTTAGATAATGTACGATTCAATGATCTTCGAGACAAAGAGTCAAAAGATTTTTACGATTTTTACGTGTTTATGCGTGAACATAAACCAATTGCTATTGTATTACGTTCTTACGATAATCGAACGAAATATTTGTTAGAAAATGTTCAAGATGTGGTTGGATATTACAAAAATCATGGTGGTGAAGAAACTCCAGTAATGGTTATTGATGATGAGGTTGCCAAAATATATAGACTTTCATCTCGTGGGAGACATGATTATCCAGACTCTGAATATAACGAAGTTGTCAGGTACTGCATATCTTTGGCGAGAACGTTACAGAATCCTGTTCAAGAATATGCTGCGCTTGAAGAATCAATCACTTCTATAAAATGTCATTCACTACAAAGCCTGGTATGGAAATAAAAAAAAAAATACATTTGTTGTTAGATATTAGTCACTTTTTTTTTTTTAAACCACTTTTGTTGTTTTTCCTTTAGTTGCCAAAAGAAAAAGAGCTCGAATGTTTACAAAGAGCTTTCATAAATATCGTGAATGAAATTGGTGTTGATATAAATGATGTGATAAATTCTCCTTACAAAAGTGACCTACTACAATACGTTAGTGGATTAGGACCACGAAAAGTCGATGCATTGTATAAGAGAATTTTAATTGAGGTAAGACATACTAAAATTTGTGCTATTGATTTTATTCAATCGTAAATGAATTCAATTTTGTTTAATTTCTTGCTATGTTAGGGCCAGACTGTTGACATGGACAGAAGATATGGCGTTGATCTAATAGATGTGGCAAGAAGGGAGGATTTGAATAAATTGTATCAATTAGGTCCAAAAGTGTACGCTAATTGTGCCGGTTTTATTCGAATTCGACCAAAGCCGGTAGATCCATTTGATGATACTCGTATTCACCCTACGTATTACATTTTAGCACGTAAAATGGCTGCAGATGCTCTTGATATGGACGATGATGAAGCAGAGGAGGAATTGCAACAACCTAATCGTCGCGATTTTCTTAAAAAATTATCAGCGGAACCAGAAAGGCTTAACGATCTTATCTTGGAGGATTATGCTAAAAGTCTTTCGAAATATTATGAGTCTCCAACAAAATTGATTTTGCATAATATCAAAAATGAAATGATGAAACCTTATGCGGATCCTCGAGTGCCTTTTGAAATACCTACACCTGAAAAAATATTTGAAATGATAACAGGAGAAACTGATGAAACCTTATACGAAGGTTTAATTGTTTGTGTGAATATTTATAAGATTGATGACAAAGCACTCAAATGTCAGCTTGATTCAGGGTTAGATGGCACAATTACTATTGGTTATGTCGCGGATCACAGAATAGAGTCGCAGGAATTACGATCAAGATTTCATGTGGATCAACAAATTCTTGCAAAAGTTTTGTCCATTGACAAAATGAAATTCTCTGTTACTTTAAGTTGCCGTCCGCGGGATGTGAATGGGAAGCAAACTTTTCAATCCCAACGTTCAGTAGATTCCGATTACGATTATGATGCAGAGGCAAGGGAACAAACTTCAAAACAAAGTAATGTTTATTCACGTATTGTATGGTTAATTACATAGCAAATAGAGTAATGTTTATTTAAATTGTACTTTTAGCAAAACCAAGGAATGTAATTACTCCTAAACTTCATACACGTATGATACCACATCCAATGTTCAAGCCGTTTACTTATGCAGAAGCGCAAGATTATCTTAGTGATAAGCAACCTGGTTCGTTGGTAATTCGGCCGTCATCCAAAGGTTATGATTATATAAGTATTACTTGGAAACTATACGATAATATTTATCAGCATATTGGTAGGTAAAATTGATTATGAATATTATTTAGTAATTATTTCTAATTTACAAATGATTTGGAATATATGATTTTTAGATGTTGTTGAAAAAGATAAAAGTGGGGTCGTAATTGGACGTAGACTTGAAGTTGAAAATGGAAAATATGTTTATTCCGATTTAGATGAACTAATCGTAGATTATGTAGAAGCCAAAGCTCAGAAAGTTGAGGCTTTAGTAAGTCACCCGAAATTCAAAGCTTCGGAGAAATCACTAAGTAAGTTTTGATCAGTGATTATATATTATTATATATTATTTTTTCTGTTATAATTCATTTAATTCATTTACTTACCCTTTGAATCTGAAACTTTAGATGAATTTCTTGACATATCTTTAACCTTTAATCCAAAACAATCTGAATATGGATTCTGTCTTGATACTAAGACTCCTGGCTGGTTCTTATTTATGTTCAAATTCAAGCCAGGAACTCAAATTGATAACTGGGTATGTTTCAGTCGAATTAGCTATTAACTTTCGATTAATTAATTTTAAACTAATTTATAATAATTTTAATTATATAGACTGGATCTATTAGACCAGATGGATACAAATTAAAAGACCAGATTTATCCTACTGTCATAGATTTGATCAATGGGTTTAAACGAAATGTATCAAAGAATTCTAGTTCTCAAGCTTATATGAGGAGATAAAATTGAATTACAAGGACTATGGTCCATTATCACAATCATTAAATATCAGTCTTAAAAGCAAGCTATATGCATAAATATTTTAATTAATCATTTATAAATAATTTTGTACAATGCGTTAATTCGTACACGTGTTCTTATGTTTGATATTCAATGTATATATATTTTTGTTGCCTACAATTGCCTACAATTGTTGTGTACCGAGATTTCGGTCTTATCCGCATGTATTGTATATCCTGATACGTACGTACGTACGTACGCACGTATCAGTATCACGCAGATCAGGTGAATAAATTTTTTACTATGAAATTTGAGTGATCGACACTCGATTTTCATATATCTCTTATTACTGTATTAAGTAAAATCTTTCATTGTTACACGATTACACGATGCATGCACTGTCATGTTTAGAATAACCTGTATAAAAACTTAAATATTTAGTCTTCCGACAGAATTACGACATCGAAAATATATTAAAGGTCGTTGCTTATTATAATGATCGTAATAATGATTTTTGGGATTATATTTCTACTGATCTTAATATTAAAAACATTTTGCCATATTGTCTGCTGTAAATTATTCATATTTTTAAACGCCCATGTATGCGAAGCTCGGGATATTGGAAATGCAAAAATCCGAATTGAATGAAAATAATTGCAGTATATCATATATATATTTTTTTCATATTAATAAATAAAATCGAATTTGATCTTAAACCCGGGTTTATTAATGTTTTACAACAAATTAAACTTTTATTTACGTACTATAAACCCGATTGCTACGTATTAAAAAGGGTTACTACGTATTAAAATCGAGTTAACTCAAATTTAAGTTGAATTAAGCAAACCGATTATCTACCTATGCGACGGGTTACATACTAGTAGTATGGTAAATTGCAACAGTAGCCTGTTTTCGATCACTAGTTTCAAGGGTTTCATAAAAGGAAATTGCACTCATGAGTTATAGTGCAATTACATTGTGGTTAAGTATAAAATAAGATAGAAAATAAACCAAAAAGAATCTCGCCTCTAAAGATAGCTTTTTATTTTATATTTTATAGTACCAGCGGTATAATAGAGCTTCACATTCATTGATTTACGAAGGTATTTTTATGTAATATAAATATTCTTAACAACTTTACTCTGATTTTGAAAGCTTTTTAACAAAAAGAACGAAGTACTAAAATATTGTAATTTTGTTTTATTGCCAAGGACGAACTATGCGTTGAATTAAAAGATTTAAGCAAAAATAAAATCATTACTGTAGAGACTTGGGGAGAAATTTAAAAACATGATTTCGTAATTTATGAAAATCATATGATAAAAAATTAGGTGTGACATCTTGATCGACTGGTATGTACGTACTGTACATATTAGTCATCCATCCGTGACTGCACTGACTACCAATTTTGACATTCATAGACTCTGACTGTGAGACTGTCTTGGCTCCTGGGCGAAGAGAGTCAAGTTGATAAACTTACAAACTCATCATTTATAAGCGCGTTCTATATAACCTTTGAAGTGAAATTTATTCTTGTCTTTACGAACGCGTTTAAACATTAAACTCTTGTTATTTTGGTTGATCATTAAATGTGTATTTTATTGGTTAGCATATCACGTGTTTTTATTGGTTAATATATATATTCCAGTAATCGCTGAAACGATTGAAGGTTAAGAAAAAAACATGAGTTTAACCTCACAGTCAGCAACATCGTCTAATGGACTCAATAATCATGCACGAAGTTCTGAGCCAAGACTTCTACTATTCATTAATAATGAAAAGCCCATTACATTCGGCGTCAAACGTGATGTGCCCCAAAGACATACTCTGATGGAAAAAATAAAAGTAAGTTATGGTATATGTTATTAGTAAGATTACTTGCTTTGAAGAGGCTACAAATTTTTTTTTTTTAACAAAAAAAAAATTTAATCCGCAGGAGCATGGTGGCGAAGTCACTGAAAATTACTGCGATGCTGATTTTGTTCTTGGCGACCCTACAAAAACACAAATACCGATGCAAGGAATTGATAAAGTAACTAATTATAAATTTGTACTGGATTCGATTAATGCAGGAAGATTAAGACCTCCAAGTAGTTATGAATTGGTCATTTCTGGCTCAAGATCCGGGTAAGTATATTTTATTAATTCTTTACGATTATATCATTTTTAATCTATCGTTTTTATACGTTTTAACTAATGGGGTATATCTAGTCGACGTAATTTTACAGTACAAGATGATAGAGACTTGGAAAATTATCTGGAGTCAATATCTGAAGGACTTAGAGGAAATCAAATATATAAGAAATTTGAAAAAATTGTATGTATTTTAAGGCGGATATTTGTTCTATATTTAATTACCTAGTCGTTACTTAATATTCCTAAATTTCAAGAATCCGCGACATACGTGGCAGGCGTGGCGTTCTCGGGCGGTCAGAAAGTTTGTGGGCAATATCAATGCTACCCCCAATGCACAAACAATAAGTAAAGTCCGGTCAGCCAATAATTCACCTACATTGCATGATGCAGATTCAGATGATTTAGCAACTGAAAAAATACTAGAATCTGCTATAAGAAAAAATCAAGAGAATGAAATCACAGATGCAAATGACGATGATTTAGCAGAGCTGACTAGTCCTTTATCACAAAACTCGAGAATAAATAAATTTACTTCGTTAGATGAAGAATTTGACGTTTCTGAGTCTTTTGAAACAATTTCTGGAGATTCCTTTACTGAACCTCGCCCAACTCATCGAAACTTAGAACTAGGCAAAAGGCGTCGCACTGATGAGGATGTGCGGGAACAACCGGCATCCAAACGTTCGAGATATTCAGCTGTTGATGAAGAATTTTTGCTTAAAGTTAAAGAATTGTCTGAAGAATTCCATGTTCCTAAGACTGAGGTGATTCGAATACTAGGCGATACTTCATGTAATTTCTCAGCTACAAGAGATTACCTAAGTAATAACGGTAAGCATTCATTGTTAATACGGTGTTGGTAACATTCGGAAATCAAGCAAATCCTTTTTTGTTTATGAACCTTAAAAAGATAACTAAATAAAATCAGCTAATTTTGATGATTTAAGATTTGAAATCAAAGTCTTAAATCAAAAATGAACAAAAATCGGTTTGCTTTTTTTAATATAGATATACTCGGCGGTCGTGTGGCTGATAAATTTGAGGTTTCAATCTTTTTTAAAAAATTTGCATGAGATTGAAAAAATGAATTCACATGATTTCCGATTATAGACATTCAATACCATGTTTTTATTTTTAATATATCCAAAATAATAAATTGTTTATAATTTTTAGCAATCAACGAAAAATTTTTTTGGGATAGCGAAGAAGATGCCATCCTGTATGCGTCAACGGATGACACACAATTTGGAGACATTTTACGAAAACACGGCGTTGAACAAACGAGGGAAAGGATGATATTTCTTAATACTTTTTACAAGGATATAAAAAAGATTTTATAATTTACCGCTATAGCGTTGCATTGCCGGCATACATAATAAGTACTATAAAGCAAAATTATTACCTAGGCATTTCATTATTGCATACATACATAATACAGTCAGGGATTTTACCAAATACGGACATTTTATCACATGTTAATCAGCCAATCAAATAAAAAATTATCCAAAATTATCCAAAATTATCCAAAATTTAAAATTATATAGGAGTCTGTGCCGCGAATACGTATTTATTTAATATAAAGTCAATTTACTTAGTAAAAAATCCATTATAACCATTTTTTTTATAAATCATAAAAACGAAGATATTTTATTTAATTTTGACAGGGAGTATGGTCGATTTTACTGTCACGTGATACTCGGAAAACAAACGTTGTTGAGCTAAAAGCATCTTTTATATTTGGATTAGGGTTTAGGCTAAGGTTAGGAAGAAAAATAATATAAATAATATAGCAAAATTGCACAAGAAAATCTTTTATTAGGACTCCAAGGATGGTTTACTAGACTAAATTTTGAGATAAATGCGATTTTTGCAAAGCGAACGTTTGTTTTGAATTGATCTTTGATTGGCTGATATGCGTCGGAAAATCATGTGACAGTAAAATCGATCCTACACCCTGGCGTTGTTAAGATATTTCGCCAACTACTAATCAGAACCAAATAATTTTTATACTATACGATTCGTCTCATTGAGACGAATTGAATAAAAAGCATCCAAATATAATTAATAGAACTCAAGACTTTGTTGATTTTCTAATTTACTATTTTAATACGTTTGATAAATTTTTTTATTTTTTTTTATTTTGAATTTGTTGTATATACGTTTGATAAATTAAAAAGAACTTTATTCAATTATATAGCAGTAAATATGTTCCAAACTATATGACTATTAATTTTTTAATTTGAGTATTTAAAAAAATAGAAAAAAACATTAAAATCAGTATAGAAAAAAAATCAAAATGAAGAACTTCTGTCTTGAATCTACTTGTAATTTGTTTTCAATAACCACTATAATAAAATTAAATTTATAATCTTATTTATATAGGTTGATTTGTTGGTGTGAATTTCTGATTCTTCCAAACTTTCTACAATATTGATGTTGAAGAAGTTATTTTTTTTTATTCTGTAAAGAGTTTTTTTCTTATCTTAAATATACTAATTATATAAATTAGAATAGAGATTAGTTTAAATAGTAGTATGTAATTTTTATAAAGTCTAATACAAGCTTATAATTGTGACCATTTGGTGCAAGTGAAAAATCTTATATTTAGTTTAGTTTTTTTCTTATTTTTTCCTTACCCTATTTATTTTTTGCATATATTTTTTAATATATTCTTCTATATCTTTGTGTTTCTTTTAAAAATTTTTTTTTTCTTTCATTTCTTTACAAGAAGATATTATCAAATCAGTAACATCTTATTGTAGAGTGATGGTTGGACAAGCCTTCTGGTTAGAGTATTATTTTAATTGATCATATCTTGCCAGTATAACAAATCATCTATAGACACTTTAGTAATTATTAGTTAGCTATTAAGTAGCTATAAAATATCAGAAATATAGTTTTATTATTTTATATTTTCTATGAGATGATGGCTTAAATAAATAAAGTTACTGGCATGACTTTGCATAAGTGAAAAAATATATATATATATTGGTTGAATTGTAAAATTAGTAATTTTTGATCTACAGTATTAAATCATTTTTGATAATTTTACTATCAAAATGTTTGTATTAATGGGATGATTTTAACAAATCCAAAATTGTTAAAATCTGATTACAGAATTCTGAGATTGTTAAATTTTGTATGATTTTATTAGTAATTTTTAAGTTACTATATAAAATATTTTTAATATTAAATAACTTTTGTTCAATTAGTCTATTTGAAATAATTTATTATCAAATGATTATCTCAATAAAATGATTTTAATAAATATAAAATTATTAAAATCTAATTATAGAATTATAAGATCATTAAAAATCAATATACATATAGACAATTAATTAAGAAATAGATTGCTTATATAAATTTATATATGCTATCTATTTTTAATTGATTATTTATATATATACTGATTTTTAATAATCTTGTGATTCTGTGATTAGATTTTAATAATTTTTTATTTATTAGAATCATCTTATTGAGATGATCATTTTGATAGTAAAATTATTTAAAATAAATTAGTAAATTAAAAGTTATTCAATATCAAAGATATTTTATATAGTAAAATTACTAGTAAAATCATATAAAAGTTTAATGATTTCAAGATTCTATAATCAGATTTTAATAATTTTGAATTTATTAAATTGTTTTATTGATATGAATATTTTGGTAGTAAAATCATCAAAAATAGTTTAGTAAATTAAAAGTTATTATCAATTTCACAAATTAGCCAATATGCTAATTAAATTAATATTATAATTGTTTAAGTATTTAAAAGAGATAGTGTATATATTAACATAAATCTAACATAATAGCATAGTGTTTTTGATTGTTAAAGTCTTTAAAGAAGACAGTATATATAATTAATCTAATAGTATAGTGTTTTTGATATCATAAAGTAAATTTCAAAAAATGTTCTTTTTTATATTAATATATTTTTTTAATGTTAAGGTGACTACTCACAGGTCTAGCACAGTTTATTAAACTTTAGAGTTGATACCAGCATAGTTATATAGATCGCACCTAATCTTATTACATCAACAAAAGTATAGTTAGCCACATATACAACTTTAATTATTGTCTATTTAAAGGCTCTACTATATTTATTTCTATTTATAATTATCCACTACTTGCTATATTTAAGATTTACTTGTGAATCTTCTATTTAAACTCTCTGATTGACTTCATACTATCAGATATCTTGCCTAAAGAGAAATCTGTCACTAAGGCCTGCTAAGTCTTTAAAGCAGACATCACTTCTATATAAGAAGATCTTTTAACCTTGTGGTAAATCTACTAAAGTGATTCATGTCCTACATATATATTATTTAGGTTTTCAGTAACTTATACCAAGCCAAGGACAAGTACTTGTAAGCTGAAGCCACTACTATTACCTATTCTGTGCTTTTACAAAGTTCACTCAAACCTCAATACTAACTTTAGAACTATCTTCTGTATTTCTATTACTCCAAATTACCAATTTAGATAGTCTGAAAGGGCTATAGCCTGCTTCTGATTTCTACAATTAGGTTTTTTTTTCTGGTTACTTCTTAGATAATCTGGTTGATAGAGTGCTTTTGCCAAACACTTTGGTCTTATTTGGTTCTTGTTACTTTCAGATGATAATCTTTTATATAGTATTATTAAAGATCTGTACTATTTCTTTATTTAGAACTTGCCAAGTGAACTTTTATATTCTGTTAATCTGCTGGTTTTATTTGGTAGCTTTATTTAGATTTTGTATAATTTATACATTACACTAAATGTTCTATTATCTCCTAGTACAAGCTGGTGCAACCCTATTACAGGTTCTAAAATCTAATAGGATACATTTTTCTAATACATTTTGTAAATTCGAATTTTGTTGCTAGTAGAATTCAAACTCTTGTTTTGCCACTTGAGAGTGTGACAACTTACCAACTTTACTAAGTTGCTACACTTTTTTCTTTTATTTGATGATTCTCCAGTGA